TCGCGCAAACCTCGATGAGACAAAACGATGCTGAAGGCAGCAATAGAGCGGACTCTCCGCAGCCCGCCGAGCCGAGCAACGCTGCGAGCTGATCAGAAATACACTCACACGTAGCGATTCACGAGATGACTAGGATTTTACACGAGGAAGGAATCGATCACAGCGACTGCAACACTCACCCGATTTCGATGTAGAGCGGTCGATCGAAGGGTAACATCCTAACCTACAGTGTAGATGCAGCAAAGCAAATTCATATCGGTGTTGAAGAGTACTATCGATCAAAGTGTCCAATGCTGGCTCGTTACATAGGGTGGCTCGCGACGCCGGGAGGGACGTTAGCCATTTCCTCTGGGGCAGGACTCTTGAGCAGGAAAAAGCCTAGCTGTAGTTTCATTGTGTCCTCGTTGCGTGATAGCAACGCGATCCTGGCTTCAGTGCCACGATTTATCAGGTCTGGTTTCGTGATAGCTCCAATCGTGCGTTGGCCGTTCGGATCAAAGTGTTTGCTCTTTTTGATTACGGGCTGATTGGAGATATCATTTCCCGCTTGCACGACCGCCAAAATTATGGATCTGTGGCTGCTCATATAGCTGTCAACAAGCCAATTGACAGCTTCGACGTCCTCTTCTGTCTGCACTTCGCTTGGCACCTGTATGATGCCAGGTAAATCGACCACGCTCAAGTGCAGGTTCGTTGGTCCTGAGACACGAATGCGCAACACGTCCTTTCCAAAGGCCGGTCCTTCAGAAAGGGTGCCATATCCTTTCAGACCCATCAATGTACCCGCCTCCTCAATTATGTCAGGCAGATCATCTAGGTCGCTCATTGTTCTGCTGAATGCAAGCAAAGTCTCTTTTTTGTCGCTCGGACAAGATGGGTGTGGGGTGATGGAGACGCGCATGTCAAGTGCTCCCTCCTCATCTTCAAGAATGATTTCGGTTGCAAATCGTGTGCAAAGCCCATCTTGTCGAGGAAAAGGTATGCCGGTAATCCCTTCAAGCACCGAGCTTTTACCAACAGACTGATCACCGCAAACGATGATTTGAGGAAGCGCCACGGAGTCCCCGATCCCACGTCGCCTCAGTGATGAGATGGCTTTGAGACGTTTGATCGACTGGTCAGAGTACAAACTAGGCAGAAGCTGCGATCCTTGCTTGGTCACTGCGGGTGATACAGAGTCATTCCGCGTCATCTTGATATGCTTGTTTTTCGAAACGAGATGTTGAGAAAATGCAGTTGTTGTCTTAATGAGTGCAGATTTGAGAGCGAGAGGCTCACGATCGTCGCTTATATAGGCATTGCATAGTCATCTAATGAGCTCGTCGTTGTTGAGAGAGGCTCAAACCACGTCACCACGACGTGCGTCATCGATGTTGTTACATGGAAGGGCCCTCAAGGTCTTGTTTCAAAGCAGATTGCACTGGTGAGACAATCCGAGAGAAGTGACTACGGAATTCCGGATTTTCTTACCACACCATCACTTGCTCGACTCGATTGCATCACCGCACTCTTGAAGATCAATGGCACGCGCCTCAAGCTTGAGGCACTCGGGCAGGCAGCGATATTGTACATCTAGAGGATGGGATCAGAGGCAAATGTCGATCGTCTCGGTTGCATCACGAAATTCCAGCGACCGCTCGATCTATAATCAGATCGATATCTATTCCAAATCAGCACCCGTGCTCAACTCTAGTTGTTGCGTGCGAGAGGCAATGCACCAAGATAGCCAATTTATGTCTGATTAGCAAAATACAATATGAACCATTGACTCACCCTGGAGATCGGTCTCCATCAGCCCACATGAGTAGGGGGCTCGCTCTTCGATACGCGTGTTCTTGTTCCAAGGATTTTAATCAGACGAAGATGACGACAACATCGGCAAGCCACCAGCTGGCAGTGAGACAAGCGGGCACAAAATTACCAAAAGGGTGACTGGGCCCACCCTTCTGAGCGAAACACCTTGTCAATCTCCATTGGAGAGCATCTTCGAAGAGGATCAAGAGCCTAAATTATCCTAGGCAATACTCGATCACGTGTCGTCAAGGGAATTGTGCAGAGCGGTGCATGCACAATGCTGAATGGACGTCGCATGATGGGCGACTCATAGCTCGGGTCGCCTCGGTTCTGCATACAACGGTGGGCTTCGATTAGCAATGTGCGAGTCTGTACGTAATATACGAACAGGAACGTGAACATCAATATCATTTTCTCAGATGGACGCTTGATGATCAATGCAGATGTGCGCGAAGTTATATTCTAAGGATGCTTCGATTTCGGGAATATGTGGATGATTCATACTCAATCAGACGTGCGATACAGCGAGTGTAAGGACAATCCTTGTAACTAGGTCGGGGTACCATGCAATGTTTCTGCATGATTGCGAAGGTGGTCAGCGCTATTAAGCCAAACATCGACGCACCTCGGATGCGGACACCGGAGGCGCTGTCCAGCAGTATGGTACTGGAGGTGCTTACGGATGAAATGTCTCTTCAGGCCATCTCTGTTCCGAAACTTCTTGGTGCGCTGTTCGATGGGTAGCTCTTCGTCACCCATGCAAAATATGCATTGCGTGGGAGAACACCGCGCTGGGAACGGATCGTGCCCGCTATCCTTGTCTTCACATGCGATCGCGACAGGATGAGGGCTCGGCGATCTAGACGCCTCGTCCAAATCTTTCAAATTGTGGAGCTTGCGTAACCCTGGCTCTTGCCGACCGCAAAGCGTCTGTACGGCATCGATGGCTTCTGATCGCCTGCTGACATTGTCAACAGCGTCAGCCGAAACGAATGTGAGCAAGGCTGCTAGTACGCGTTTACGTTCAGGACTCAGCTCTTGTACCCTCATGTTCTTCTTGCTAGCTCTTGCAGTCACTCCCGTCGATTTTCCTTTACGTAGCTGTTGCAGAATATCCGACACAGGCTGCTCGGCGCGGTACTGTGCTTTCACTTCTTTCAAGACTGTCTTACGCGTCTCCTTCTTCGTCCGCAGGAACGCCTGGTGCGCTTCGCGATATGTGTCATATGCAGCAGTGCCCCGGGCGCGGCTGATCGTGGTGTATTGAGCCCGAACACGCTGCGCCAACCCGTCGCGGCGTCTGCGTGCCAAAACCACTTCAGGGCGCCGATCGACCGTCGCCAACTGTCGTTTGGTCAACGCGCGTGGCCTCTGTGGATCGATTGAGCGGCTCATTCCACTCGCGACGCGAATGATAGCCGTCTGCGGTTCCAAGCCGCGGTATGCCGCCTGGGTGTCTTGAGTGACGTAGTGCGAGAGATAGTTGTGCTGGAACACTGCAGAACTAGCGTGTTGCATGATGAGGTTGCGCTGAGAATCGCTGATGTGATCTAAAACGAGTTAGCAGTACCCCTATCAGTGCAAATCTTCTAGACGCACTGCTGCTGTCCAAAGCTTCGCCATGGCCTCGACGGAAGCAGTACGGCTTCACGATCCAATCAAAACTCGTGATTTCGCCCAGAGGCCGCAGACGCTCGCGAAGCCAGTTCTCCGTGACTGCTCTGCTGGACATGCGAACGCCGTGTACCGTACGCTCTACACCTCGAAACAACGGAAGGTCCGCTTTGGATTCGTCAATCGGAATAACCAGCTCGCGCTTGCCAGGCGGGATGCGAAGTTCGAACAGCTCAGCAGGAGTGAAGTCCGGCACGGCAAAAGCCTTGTCTGCAAAGAGCAAACCGAGGAGCATCGTCTGGGGGCAGAGCAGAAGACATGCTTCCTGGGGGATGTCCGGAACAGGAAAGGTATTCCTGCCGACGTGATCAGCAAGCAGACATCGTAGAGTGGCCACAGAAAGCACTTACGGATCCTTAACCCCTAGATAGCGCTTTGTGTGTCGAAATGTGAAGTCCATCACCAGTCTCGGACGTTCGCCACCGGCAGGATCCGGCAGCAAGGCAATCTTGAGGTCTTTATACTGCATGCGACGCAGTGCCCCAGGACGGTTGCCCGTGATGCCAGCCAGCTGAATCATGAGTGCTAATTGGACTCGGAGTCGTTCATGCTGCATTTCCACTTCGCTCGACTCCCAGAGCGTCTTGAGCAATTCGAATTCGTCTTCCGCTCGCATAATCGGCTTCGCCTCTTTCTCTGTCGACAGTCCGAATTCGTTGACCAGTTGCTGCCGTGCCTGCAACATAGTCAGAACATACATGCTGCCTCGGGTGAGTCGCGGATGAGGTCAACATACCCCGCACATTTCGATTTGTACTTGCGGCGCGATCTCGAACTGCTTCGTCTCCAGCTGCCGGACTAGCGTCAAGGTGTTCCAGTAGGTCTGAATGGTGCCTGCTTTGCGGATCCGGCCTTTGCGCTCACGTAGCATCCAATGGAAGAAGTCGTAGAGATCGGGGGTGAGGAAAGAGCTCAGCGTCGTCATCGGGTCCTTCTCGTAGGTAATGCAGTACCTGGCCAGCTGTCAGATCATCTACTTGACTACTCATGTCGCGGGCGCGGCTTCTACTCACCGATCCCAAAGCTCTTTGATCCATCGCTGAAGCTCCTGGCTCTTTTCCGAATAAATCTTCTTCGTTCGCGTTGGATCATAATGGCTCGTTGCAGCCCTGGTTGCTGAGGTGAGCCCGACGATGTCGTGACTCGTCTCCGAAGGTGCCTGCGCTCCAGAGAAGCGCATGCTTGCGATAGACTGTCGGAGTGCGTGCGGGTATGCGTGCGATCCGGAGTCCGCATTGGGGGGTTGCTCTGTGGACGTTGAGTGTCGGGACGTCGATGGCCAGCGGATGGGCGCCGTCCCCTCTATATCGTCGGTCCTCCATGGGTGGCATCGCTCCTGGCTGTCACGCAGGTTGAGGGCGATGATGCTGTGCCGCACAGGTGAAGCCAGCGCGGGCGAAGAGGAGGGATGGGCGGGAAGGGATGTTTACCGCTGGCGAGTCTGCGCCCGGAATGGCCTGCAGGGGCGGCCCCAATCGGGCGCAGTTTTGCCGTCATCGCGCTGTAGATTATAAATATACGGACAGAGACGTCCTAACCTATAATATACGTTTCTTTATTAGCCGTATAAACTATCGTAGTAACTAGACTCCTATACCTAAAGTACTCGTTTTAATTATAAAGGAAGATTAGGCGAAGGCTACTAAAAAGAAGGGTAAATAGCGCGAGGTCGACCTCCCTATCGTTACGAAGAAAACCGTAGTTACGCCCGCTCCGCTATAAATAATACTAGGCGCCGAGCCTACCCTCTCTAAGATAAGTTTTTTAGATTATTACGTTATAACTCTAACTACCGGTAGTAAGCCGATATCTTTTATTAACTTAATAAAGAGAAGAGTCGTAAGCGTTAATACTACTATTAAAGTAGTAGAGAAGACCCGTAAGTATTAACGTAACAAAGAAGTCGTTCTAGTACTATAATAAGTCTCTTAAACGCGTCTTGTTCTTAATAAGGACAATAAGACCTTATTCGACGTATTTACTTTACGACTAGTATTTAATAATAATATTACTAACGATGCTATCCTACTATTCCGCTAATAATAGTAACGCGACTAGCCTATAGAGATTACCCTACCTCCGCTAGTACTACCGACTACGACGTACTAGTTAACGCGCCTTATTACTAACGCGACCGACCGCGCTCTATTTAAGCGCTATACTCGCCGCCCTATTTTTAATAACGATATCTATAACGCCTTTATCTTACTATATTAGCGCTAGTTTGCGCGTAACTAGCGTCGCTCTAACGTAGCGTAACCTACGTCGGCTCTAGTTACGTTATAAACGCCTACTAAAGTTACGCCTACTATAACGACTATCGCCGCTACTACTAAGATAGTGTTACGGGTCAACTGCCAAAGGGCGGTTTACTCGAGGGG